CCCCAAAACCCCAAAACCCCAAAACCCCAAAACCCCAAAACCCCGAATTTATTATAAGAATTTGAATTAAAATGGAAGGAAATAACTTTGAGGCCATATGAATTGTCCTCTTCTTTAACTTGCTGATCTTCTCGATTGCTTGCCTCGTGTCCAGGATTATCTGGATCAACGGAGTTGGCCTTGAGATTCCGATTGACAAGAAGTTTTACGATGTTGACTTCAAGAAGAAACGGGTGTTCTGCTCAACGAGCTCATTCAAAGTATTCTGGGATTTCTATATCAAAATCATGACTGGATTCAACACCGAGTACCTGACACTGAACTGAGGTATCGATGCATACATTTACATGCTGTTTCAACGGAAAATGATGAAGCTGATGCTGTTTTATGCAGTGCTCTCTCTGCTGTTTGCCATTCCCATTAATGTTGTTGCTTCGAAGAACGGTGAAGAGTGGTTCGAACGGATGACGTTAAACAACAAAGAACTTGACACTCTATCTTGATGGGTCCATTGCGTCCTGATGATCATCTTCACAGTAGCTACAATTTACACTTTCTATGAACTCAAGCTTGAAGCCAGAAATGTGTATGCAGAAGTACAGCTCAAGAGGTCAAGGACCAAAGACTTTGAGTGGCTTAAAACCAGAACAGTACATGTTCGAGGCCTTGCTCCTAACGACAGAAAAGGAGAAGCACTCATTAAGAAACTTAACAAAGAGTTAGAGTTGATCGGAGGTAAAGTCCTCACAATCATAAATATCCCTGACTTCAGCAAAATACTTGAACTTGAGAATAAATAAGTTCGATGTAGAAGATTTGCTGAAAATTCCTCCATCGAAAGAACCTTTCTTAAAGAAGTGAATGGTTGCCAAGAAATACAGAACCAAGAAGTACTATCAGAAGCAGATAACAGACATTGAAAATGAAATTGATGATGAGATCTGTAAACCCATTTTAAGTTCGGGCCACGCCTTCATTTGCTTCGACACCATCGAAAGTGCAAACCACTGCCTCAGGAAGTTCAAACTCGGAGTTTGCGATGGAGCGAGTCTGTGGATCCGGAACCTCAAAGACACTTTGGTGGCCTGTTGCAAGCGAGAACATGTGCAGAAATAAGTCGACATTTAGCAGATTTGAAGACGATGATGAAGGGTTCATGGAGGATATTATTGGAGAAGGAGACAACTACATCATTGAACAAGCTAAAGAACCAATGGACATTTTGTGGGAAAATATGAGTGGCACCAGAGGACTCTACTTCTGGAGGAGACTTGGTCTCCTTGCTGTTTGCATCTTAGTCGTTCTGTTCTTGTCAACACCAGCTGTTGTCCTTGCAGCACTCAAAAGAATGGATGTGCTTAAAATCCATGAGTTCGACTTTGCTTCATACATTCCATTCGGTGAGTATGTGATGACTTACTTGCCACCCCTGTTGATTCTGTGTATCAACCAGATCATCTTGTTGCTCTAATTGACATTGTGGCTGTCCTAGAGAAACACCAGTCTCATTCTGATTTCCAGACTGCAGTCTTCGTCAAGTCAGTAATCTACCTGAACATCAACATGCTTTTGATCCCATCGCTGTCGTTCGGGAAGGCAGACTCTCTGTTTAAGCTCATGCTCGACAAGAACTACAACCCCAAAGAGCTGCTTGGAGACATTTACTACTCAGACTCAGGCTTCTTCTATGTGGCTCTGATCATCCAGCAAGGGTGTTTGTCATCATCATTCTATGTGATGCGGCTCAACGACTTGCTGACTTCGTACTTGTCTCCTTGGCTGGCAGACTACAAGCGCAAATACATGAGCGACTTCATGCCATGGAGAAGACCCGCCTACCAGACTTTTCAGTACGGATACTTTTATGCTCAGATGATGACCATATTCGCAATCATTTTGGTGTTCTCTTCGACAGTGCCAATCATTACGCTTATGGGAGCCTTGTACTTGTTCTTGAAGCATGGAGTCGACAGCTTCAACTTGCTCACAATGCACAGGAAAGAACTTGAGTCCAAAAGTGAGATGTTCGACTACATATTGCTCACAGGCCACTTAATTTTGATACTGTACCAGCTGTGCTTGCTGTTCTTTTTCTCGTCGAACGACATGAACATGGCCTCGTTTGTCGTGATTCTGACCATCATCATTTCAATTGTTGTTTGGAAAAAGACCAACCAGCAAGTCTTTGACGAAGAACAAATACCCAGCCTGGTCATGGTAGAGAGAGCCAACCAGAGCTTAGAGCTGAGCGAGACTTCGGTCAGCAAATGGAGAAGAGAGTACTCACACCCGTTGTTATTGATCAGTTCGTCTCACCCGGACCATGCGTATCAAGTAGAAGTGTTGCAAGACCGCCAAATGAGGAGACTGTCTCGACTAACATTTCATGCTCACCCTGGCGAATACTCAGAAGATGAGAAGAGGAACTCGATCGATTTTCAAAACTCGTTTAAAAGAGCTACTCAGTTAAGAGGCCATATGTAGATCAATTAACATAATAATTATCATTAAATCTTCAGTCTTACCCTCCCGCTTCGGGGTTTTGGGGTTTTGGGGTTTTGGGGTTTTGGGGTTTTGGGG